ATTTGAATTACACGAGGCCTCACATGTCAATTTCAATAGTCCCCGCCCACTGACGTCAAACACAAAGACAGTCGCACGAGAATTACATGCATATTAGGCCTTCTTACCTCCTGACCTTTCGCTTGGTGAAATTTGCATTCCGGTGGAATGATCAAGAAATCAACTCTCCTAACTTTCAGAGTTATCACAGAGAAAACAAATAGAAATGGAAATATTTATCTTTTTACCCTTAAAAATAAGTAGCATCTACCTGCATATATATCAATCATTTTCATCTATAATTAAGGATGAGCATATATTTCAGTATACCATTGTTAATTGACAAAAGTATCATCTTAGACCATCTTTGTCTCAGAGGGCTTTCATCATGTACACTGTGCAATCCAGCCAACTAATATAATTAATTTACAATGACCATCAATCATGCATCCAGAGATCAAAAATTACAATCCTCCATCTTCAATACAGCCAAACACGAAATATCCTTAATGTTTACTTTTAAGGCACTTGATCAACATGTATGTTTAAGAAAATAGGTTGGGTGAGGGGGAAAGAGAGAAAAAAAATAAGAAAAACTGTCTTGGGCTAATTTGATATTTACCTATATGCCATATCCAATTTGGACCTAAAAAACAAAATGGCAAGACTTTGAAATCACATCGACTACATAAAACCCCTCCATTTAATGTTGTATAGTCATATGCTTAAAAAAACTAAAAATCAGAACTTGTCTCCCTTACATTTACCATAAAGAAAATGTTCAAAGCATAATAAAGTGCACAAACACACACACAAGACACATACCTACCCTCCCTCACACACCCTATCTCTCTCACACACACATGTAGTTAAATTTAACCTTTACTGAGGTACTGCCTTCTTTTAAGTTTATTGCCTTTCCTTCTGGACATTCCTTTAGGGTCTAAAGTGGTCATTATTTCTCGTACCAGTTTTCTGAAAGTCCAAATATTTTAAAGTGGATACATTTATTATCATTAAATAACTTATTTAACATATGCAGATAGTATAATACCCGATCCCCTCCATCCACACTATCCTGTTTGTACTTGCACCTTAAACTTAATGAATAGCAAGCATTCTGAGAGTACTGCACAAGCAAGAAAATTCTGATGAGAATACATGTATTTGTAAATTTGTTTTCATCTAGAATTATTCTGAGAATTAAACCATACAGAAATTTCCTTCTCTATTGGAGGAAGGTCTTAGTTCCTAAGGAATGAAACTACACATAGTTTCATGCAAACTACCTTTTTTTTCATTTGCACATTCTATCAGTTATTTTGAAATTATATAATATATGAGGACTGATGTGAACTGTGGAAACGACAAAGAAGGAAAAGGTCTTTTCAAATATCTTCACTATAATTTAAACCATTATAATAATGTAAGAATAACACAAATGCCTAAATGTATACCTGGTAATTGGAAAATGTGTACTGCATGTGCATTACCTGGTTGTACTGTGCGAACACATAAAAATCCAATTTAATTAGAAAGAAAATAATTATTTCACTTAATGTTTTCTCGAGAATAAATTCCTTGAATTAATTGAATTGCAATATTGAATATAAATTTTAAATGATCATGAGCATCATGTCTATTTGAAGGATAAACCTGATTGGGAAAATGAGAAGTTCCAAATACATGTAAATAACTTCATCATATGTTTCTCATTAGGTAGTGACACATCAAGTTTCAAACCAATTATCCACACCATGTCAAGTAAAAATTGTGGAAAAACAAATTAGGGATTAAAAACAGCTAGTATGTATGTAAACAACAAATATAAATTACCTTCGAACAATGTATCCATAAATAAATCTCAATCTAAAGAACACATCGGATACACTTCTATCTGGCTTTAGAGACATTTCAAGCTGCAATTAAAATCTGTGAAATTATTTCATAAAAATTGATTTTTTTCATTTTAAAAGGTAAAATAATGCTTTGAAGTGACTAAATTTTAATAATTTAATAATATTTAATTGCAGTTCCATAACTAATCACACAATTTTCTAAATAAAATTACTGAAAATGATTTAACTTTTACCTGCTTTTACTGAGCAATTCAAGAATTCAAAGAAAAAATACATGTCATTCAAGCATCAAACTTATTTGTTGGGGGGAGGGGGGTTATGATAAATACTGTATATTATTCATGCCAAAGTAAATGTTTACGAAATAATCAATATTTACAAATTACAGACCATGTACTATCATATATTAGCATGCATATTATGAAAGTTAACAAATTGCTATAAGACATAAAAGTTACCAGTATAGCTTGTAAAATATCATCAAAATTTGTAAGTTGCGCAGATCCTCTCCTGTTGTTTAAGTGTAACTTGGGAATAACTTTCCTCTTTAGATACTCAACACTGTAATAAAAATGATCCAACAGGAACAGATCTTTTAATTTTAATACACTGTAATACATGAACAATATTATAATCCATTCAAAATTTCCTGAAATTTATTTATTTATTGGCATGGGTTTTTTTTATCAAATATAAAGGATCTGCATGTAATTCAGTGTTGAAACAATTCAATATTATATTAAAATGGTTTAATTCCTTCATGCAAAACATTTCTTGCATAACTACATTTAGAAATTCAACAAATATTTCAAATTGTACTTGTCCAAAAATATATTAAAAGTAAAAAGTCTGGGAAAAGAATTACCTGTAATGTTGATTATGTTTTGTTTTCAATAAAATGGCAATTTCTTTATGTGGCAAACCAAGTCTATGATAAAACTCAATATACGATTTTAAATCTGCAATAAATTGTACATAAAATTATTGGTAAGTTCTTAAATTGCTGTTTGTTGTTTATATACATGTATATAGTTAATACCACATTTTTCTCTTAAGAATTCAACATGGCATAATCATTAATTGGTAATGAAATATTATAAAGGAAAACAATAGTTTCAAAATGTTACCTTCATTCATTGTCAATATTTTCTTATTTCTAATATGAAACTTAGAGAGAAGATCCTGAAAAAAAAAAAAAAAAAAACTTTAAAAGAGCTGTACATCAGTTGACAGTTTTTGCATCAAATGCAGCAGATATCTATATTCAGATGCACACTGATAAACCAACTGCATTTCAAGAAAATATATATATATATATATATATATATATATATATATATATATATATATATATATATATATATATATATATATATATATAAATAAATTAAACTTCCATGTAAATTAGTTGAATCTGATTTGTCAAGAAACATCTGTTAAAAAACACCATTGCCCGCTGAATAATGAAGCCACGCCCTCCAGCGCAGCAAGTCAACATTGCTTGACAACGGGTGATATTCCAAAAAATATGGACTGCTCAGAATTTATGCTTGCAAGGTTTAATGTAATATGTATGTGTATAAAACATTCAGTATAATATAATAAATATTGCCTGTAGTTGAGTGTAACATTAAAAATTTTCACCCCTCGAAAACCACCATCAACCTCGGCTGCGCCTCGGTCGAAAATGGTTTTCTTGGGGTGAAAATTTTCAATGTTACACTCAACTACATGCAACATTTACATAATAACCAATTTCAAGTCCTACACAAACCATATTCATTAAGATAATATTTTTAATGACACACAAATATTACAGGGCACAAACACAATTACAACAAGACCACAGTCAAGCTAAGCATTCTCTCATGCAAAAATTTAGAAATGTTGTTCAAATGTGTTCTATATATTTTCTAATATAAACCTACTAAAAAGCAAAAACATTTCTCTCTTTTTGAAATTTTGAACTGGTTAAGAGGTCACATTTTTTAGGTCACAATGATCATCAGACAAGCTTATTGATTGACTGATACATTGTTTCTTAAAACACTGTTCATACTTTTTAAAGTTATAAACTGCAATGTTAAAATTTCATCGGGATATGAAATTTGTTGTTATATGAACAAATCTTCTGAGAAGACCTTCATGTTTCACAGGATTTGACCGACCAAGTTTATATCTCGGTGAACTTTTTAACAATTGTATTTATTTATTATGTGAATAAAGTTAAATCATTGGTTCTTTGTGTTCGCTTGTTAACTCAGACATATATACCCAATATCTGATATCTTAAATAATTCACCCATAACTATGGATATGAATAGGGCTTGACTTATAAGATTGCTAAAGAGGTATACAAAGTGAAATGATTTTAAGTGCTGGGATTTTTTTTTTAATTTTGCCAACAAGCATTTTGTATGCTTGTAATACATAAGTAACACACCCATATACAGTTGAACTTTGATATCTCGAACTCCGATATCTCGAATACCATGGATATGTCGAAGTGATGTGGAAGTCCTAACCACATGTTCTTTAAGTATTTTATCCTTGATATCTCGAATCCTCGGATATCTCGAATTTTGTTCTCAGGCTCATCAGGTTCGAGATAACGAAGATTGACAGTACATACAATCAGCAATGATATACTCCATTGCAATGAAATAATAATAATTTGCATTATGAAAGACACAATGATATTTACAATAAATTTAATAACAAATGTAATGGAAGTTACTTGTTATGCAAAAGGAGCGGCCAAATTACCACCCCCGATAAAATACTCCAGTTAACGATACTAAAATCCAAATGATTACAAAAAGTATTTCAATGCTGCAGATATATAAGTAATAATTGTAATGTAAATGGAGCGGCCACATTACCGCCCCCGATAAAACACTCCAATTACAACACTAAACTGTTCATGAATACAAAATGTTTTTCAATGTTACATGTCTATAAATGTAATGCAAATATAATGCAGCAGCCACATTACTGCCCCAAATAAAACAATATAAACATTTAAAACTGTTACTAGAGGAATACATATTTCAAAGGTACCGGTATATACATGAAGAGGGATTTTTTTTTATGTCTGTTACAAACAGGGTTTATATGATTTGCGTTTATATGCAATATCAATGCACAAATTTGCTGTAGTTATCAATGCAAAATAATGCCTTTTATTTGTCCTCTTCTTGAGTTTGTGAGACTACAAATACTGTCGGAAAAAGTTACTGTGACAGTTTTATTTACCTCAAAGATTGTTTGAACAGTTGTTAATCCATCTATACCAAAATATACATCACATCCAGACATGTGCACAGCAACTGTATACAACTTGTCTTTTTCTAAAGTAACACTGTTTGCAAAAATAAATGAAAATTCACACTCCTCAGTCAACTCTTCACGTATTTTTTCCTTAAGGAGAATATTTTCATCACAAGATAATGACACTTCAACTAAAAGTGAGACATTGTAGTTTCCATACAAAATGATGCCATGAAATTGTATATTTCTATTTACAGAAAACACAAGTCTATCACCATTCAATTCATCACACTTCCAAGTATTGCTTGGACTTTTTGAAAAAAATCTAATGATCCTAATGTCCTCCTCTGACACACAAGCACGAGATTGAAAAGCTGGACCAACTGTGTCCTTACAAACACTCAATGAATTCAAATACAACATAACTTTCATTGCAAAATCATCACTAATTATGTTTCTATAAACAACATTTTCAATAAAAAAAGTAGCAGACATTCTACCAAACCTGATATTTGGAACAATTTTCCTCCAAGTTTCTGAAACGTTTCTGCATTCTGAATTCATCCACTTTACTATCAACAAAAATAACTTCTCTTCATGAATACATAATGTATTTCGTTCAAGCAGCAAATTAATCAAATCTACAGGATACTGAAAAAACATTTCATTTGCAGGACTATTTGATAAAATGTCTCTGGCAAATTTGTCAATGTATAACAATGATGATAGCACAACATTTTTCAAACCAAATTTGTGTGCAATATGTAAAACAAGCAAAGCTTTATCAAAACATATGGATTGTTGAAGAAAATCTAAACATTTCTCAGACAAATCTGAAACCATGTAAAATTGAGCTGCCTGTAACATATCTTCAACATTCTCAAAAGATAAATCAATCTCATATTGGTACAGAAATTCTATCACAGATCTTGTTTGTGAAGGCAAGAAATCATGGCAAATAACTGTCCTTTTTGATTGCTTGGGGTCCCAGTTTTCATTTAAACATGTTCTAAACCAATCGCTGCCCAATATGAGCACTGTCCTGTGTGCACCCATGATACTTCCATCTGATAAGGAAATTTCTAAATCACACAGCTCTTGCTGATGGAAGGCTTTAACAAGTTTTTCACCAAGTCTTGCCATTACAGCTGTGATAAAAGTCAAGATATTCCTTTAGTCTAAATAAATGTCATTTGTTTTTGTATGTCTGTTTCGAGCAGTAGTTATAACTCTGTGTGTGTGTGTGGGGGGGGGGGGGGGGGGGTGAGGGGGGTGAGGGAGGGTGTGTTTGTGTGTGTTATTGGACAGTTCTTTGGCAATAGAATGCCAAACTGAAAATACCATATTTAGAATGAAATGAGATGTGACAAACATTGGAGTTTTTTGTTTAATGGTGTACACTTAAATAACTTGCTAATAAAAAAGTTTGAGTCAACCATGACATTTTCAAAAAAAAAAGACCTGTGTATAAAACAAAAACAAGGCCCAGGCCTTGTTTACATAACTAACAATTGTGATCACTGCTTCTTGCTTGTAACTTGCAACTTACTTTTGAATTTAGGTTGACCATTAGTCTAGAAATACCAATATCAATACTTAAAAGAAAGGAAAAATAACATTTTAATACTTCCACTTCAAATCGCAATCAGGCCCCTTTCAGTTGTTCCATCAGCACATGTTTTCTCTTTTTCAAAATACTGAGGCATTTACCTGTCTCAATTTGTCATTGAGCAAATATGTTACCAGTTTCATAAATACTGTATTTATTGCAGAGTTAGATCTGCAAATTTTTCAAATAATCTTCTACCTTCATAACATGAATTCTTGCAATTTTTCAAAGCACACCAATATTTCGCTCACATTTTAGAATTTCAAGAACTAGGTCAAAAAAAAAGATAGTATTCTGAAATGAACTGTAGAGGGGTATATTTACTTAATACTAAGTTCCCCATGTACATGCATTAACAGTATTTGTGACTGACCTCCAGTATTAATGTAATGTACTCCTCATCAAGGCCTCAAGTAGGTTTCTTCGCAAAGTTTGCTAAATGGATCCTCTATGAAGCTAAAAGTACATGTATATATTTATATATGGTAATTAAGTGGTTACAAGAAGCAAGATCATTGTTTAAATGCTGGACAAAAAAATTAAATAATTTTCTTTAACCAGACCCTCACCCCATATCTCTCAATTGAACTGTAATGTGATGACTGTTGATTTAAATTTAATTATCAAAAACTTTATATTTGCTCATTTGTAATTGTTCACTTAAAATAATATTTATTTCTTTTGTTTATTCATTAAGAGAATCAATTACAAATAAAGTCCCACGTACAATGTGCAATTTTCTGGCTCTACCACCCCCCACCCCCCACCCCCCTCCTACAACAACTTTATGATTTTCAAAATATATGACATCTCATCTCTTCTAAGTTACTCACCCCCTCCCCCCACCAATAACTTTATGAATTTCAAAATACATCTGTCAACATCTTATCTCTAAGTGAGAATTTACCAAAACAAAATTGGAGAGAAACTTAATGTTGTTTTACTTCAGAGGTTCTTATGACAACTGTCAAAAATATACAATGCACATGCATTTCTTTCTAAAATCAACTTTGTTCTTTCAAAAAATTCAAAACATGCAGATATTAATGAATGGGGTATTACAAATCACTTCCTACATCTTGATTGCAAAATATTTAAATAACAAGTTTAAAATAGATGTTTGGTTTTGACATAGTCTCTAAAAAGGAAAGAAAAAATAATATATATACATAGAAGGATGAAGCCTCCCCCCATCCCGTGCACACTCACCCCCAAAACAACTTGATTCTAAATGTCACATAAAATACCATATGCCTTCATGTTCAAAATTGCATATAAAATAAAAGAGTCTGCGCATTTATTTTAATTGTATACAATTTATAATTCGAATTTCCTTGATGAAAAACTGCAGAATGCCTTTGAGTGTTGGAATGCTGTTCATACAATTTATTCAAAAGAAAAATCACATAAAATAAATATTTACAACATCAAACTAAGGTATTCATTAAGATTTACAAGGGAAAAATCACCTATACTTACCTTACAAACCGGGAGGCTGGAACCTGATACACATTTTAGCGGTACTGTTTTTCAATGTTAGGGAAGCAGTTATATATTACGATACTAAAGTGAATGTTATTTTTTGAATAGCTTAATAAAGCTATAAAGCTTGATAAAGCTATATGTAGCTTTTTCTTGCTATACACCTAAAACAAGAAATAGTGCTGCTTGATTCTGGTTTATATCATTCGTGAACATTTAGAAATCATCAACCCTAAAAGACATATAGTCTCTATAATATTTTATAAATCTATTGGTATAAAAGAAAATGACTTTAAGAGAAAATAAGATTAATAGTTATGAATGTAAATTGAGATTCAACATGTTCAATACAAAATGAAGATTTCACTCGAATTTCCTCGATCATGAGAGACTCGCTTCAGTTTTGGGAGAAAGTAAAATAACTGCACAAACTGAGGTATAACTTACATCAAAAAACAAGAATTCTTCTCATTTAATGAGAGTTAGTTACATTAAAACAAACAACAAAGAATATTATTGATATATTACTTACATCAAACGTAATGATCACGACTCAGACCTACATCAATTTGAATGTAATGACCACACCGCATCCGCGTCCTTAGAAATCTTGGCCAAATCTCGATCTCTTGAAATCTTGGCCGGCCAAATCTCGATCTTTTGAAATCTTGGCCGTTCATCTCGTAGAAGCTTGGGAATTAATGATCGAGGTCACCCGAAATCTTGGCAATGTACAGGGTCGAGGGTGTACATGGCCAGGGTTATCATGGCCAGGCCTATACGGCCAGGGTACGCGAGCAAAATGGCCAGGCTAGGCTATGTATGGTAGAGGGTTATGGGGAACATGGCCACGCCAAGACATTATTATGCAAGACCAGGTTGAACATGGCCAGCCAGGATAGCTAATCGTCGAATGCAAGATGCATGATAATATACATGGCTAGGGTGAAAATGGCCAGGCCATGTTTAGAAGCGTGGGATAGGCATGGTGCGAACATGGCTAGGCCAGGGTAGTACATGGCCGGGCTAGGCTGTGTATGGTCGGGGTAAACATGACTAGATGGGATGGCCATGCTGCAAACATGGATCGGCCAGGTTGTATACGGCTAGGCCATGATGAGAAAGCGTGGGGTGTCCATGATGCAAACATGGGAAGGCCAGGGTAGAAATCATGGGTGGCCAGGGTTAAAACTATAGATTGTATAGACCCTGACCCTGGGGGTCCCCTATGGCTTCAAAGATGGGAAGGCCAGGGTAGAAATCATGGGTGGCCAGGGTTAAAACTATAGATTATATAGACCCTGACCCTGGGGGTCCCCTATGGCTTTCCATAGTCTTCGGACGATGGAGAGGATATAATCCCTTCTTCACCAAATCGGGCATCGACATCTCGGGAGAAATCCCCCGTCATTGCCCAGCAGGCGGTAGAGGAAGAGGCAGCGGCGGCCCCTCTACCAGCTCTCAAGAAGCCGGTTAAACAATGGGTGCGTCGGTTTAACGAGGCCCAGGAAAAGGCTTTGATCACTGTCTTCGGACAGTACATCAAGCTTCGTGTAGACGACCCCATATTGAAGATTTCGAGAAAAGACTTGATGGACATGATTCAGTCAGAGCCTCGCTTCCAGCCAGTTTTGGGTGCCTATGAACCTCGGGTCAAAGCGGATCGCATCCGCTACGAGGTGACAAAGAGAAGGAAGAAAAAGCTCCGTGCAGAAGGCGCTCCTGCGGCAAATGATGACGGAGAATAGAGCCGGTGTTCTGGTCCTTGAATCTATTTGAGTGCTGGTGGAGTAAATCCTCCTCCTCAGCCAACCAAGTAGTCCGAGACAAGTTGCTCCATCTGTGTAAATATGTACATATTATTCAGAAAAATCTATAAAGAAAAATCATATAGCGTGCACTCCCAGTGTACGGCAAAAATCCCCCGAAAAAAAAAAATTATGTACATAGTTTGTATACACTTTGGCTTATTGGTATACATATTTTTATTATTTATTTATTGCCTCACGTCTTTCATTTTAGCTGTCGTCAAGGAAAAAGCTGGAAAACATGCTGGTAGGTGAGACAGCGGCCTATCAGGCCGGTGAGTAGCCAAAATCTTCTGGCAGTCCAGGGGTCATTTGGATGCGGAACAGGCACGAATAAGCACCAAATGTAAAGGGGTCGAGTTAGGCTATCTTACGGTTAAAGGTAATTGGGATATTTTATAGATTGTTAGTAGGGGGAAGTGCTGAGTGGTGTGGAGACAGTCTACTTCCTCCCAAGGGTAGAGGTGTAAGGTAGCATTTTTGGCATGGTGGGTGTCTGGGAAAACAGCCTTCTGTCGTTCTTGATAGGGTCACTCGAGTTCTTTTTTCGTTTGAAGGTTTGCCATTCATCTACAAGACGTTTGGGGTTGTCGCAGCCGCACAGGCTCCGTCGCCTTAACTACCTTCTGTTTTTAACTTGCTAGGTTTCCTTTTCATCTTCTGTTTGGTAGGCTTAGGGACGGTGGGTTATTTTTAGATTGAAGGTGGTATGGGTGGGCTGCTGGGAGGTAGGGTTCCCGTCCCGCAGTTTGGATACTGGCAGAAATGCTTGCCGATACCTCTCAAATGTCTCAGCTTATGCTCGTCTTCGCCGTTTTTGGAAAGTGCTGTTGGGGTGAGGCAGAGTTCTCGTGCATTCGAGTTTTCAGTCTTTTGCTTGACAATGCTACCTAATAGACTTAGCTTTGTTTGATGCTACCTAACATACTTTTCTCTTCATTGACATGGGCACCTTGATTCAGTGCCATTTTCCATCCTCTGGCTTACTATGACAATGCTTCTGACGTTTCCATCAGTTATTATAAAAAAAAAAAATCATGGACAGTACTCACATGGAGAATATTCTTTTAATTTTTTTGTTCTTGACTAGGAGGCTTAAAAGGTATGATTTCTGATGCTTTGGTATTGTGAGTGAAATTTCCTTTGCTGATCATATAATTTTAAGGGGGAAAAAATCACACTAAAAGTGTCGCAGTTAAGGCTACAAAAAGGGGGCGGAGCCTTATTTGTACGGGGAATGCTAA